AGGATTTATATAGCGCCAACAATTTGCTCAGCACTTTCCAATATAACGGGAGACAATACAGCAACAATACAGTTCAATACAAGAGGGTTAGGAGGGCCTTGCTCCTTGGAGCTTACAATCTAAGAGGGAGGGGCTGGTGGTACAAAAGGTAATAACTGTGGGGGATGGACTGGTAGGAGGAATAGAAGGTTCTGTTATTACCTCAAGGCAGGATAGGCTTCTCTGAAGAGATACCTTGGTAAGAACCTACATCAGGACTTTTGATAGAATCCTTAAAGGCCTAGAACAGCCCTGGGCACCCCAACTTAAATGTTTTGGGGCTTGTAAAAAAAAAAGCTAATAATAAAAAAGTGGGGGAGGCTGTTTATTTTTCCATTTCATCTCTTCTGTCTCTTTGCTGTCTTTCCTTTGGTCTTTTTCCAATTTTGTGGTCTATTCCCTTAGAATGCAACCATTAGTACTCAGGACCTTTGATGACAGTGGTCCCTGGTTGGAGAAACATATACAAAAAAAAATCTGTATTTAAAAAAAATGCTTTTCTGGTGTATAAAAAAAAATCCTCTCTGGATCTAATTTTAAATTTCATTAATATGATGACATGAACATAACAATGCAATGTATCATCATTACTACTTATAGGAACAATAAATTAATTAAAAAGCAGATAAACAACATGATGTTCCAAACACATATTGTAGATAGAATGCACTGTATCATCTCTTTATAAATTATTCTATTAATTGAAAAATTAAAATGCAGTAAAGACCCAGTAAAGAATCCCAGTAATTAATGAAACACCAGATTCTTTATTCCAATGAATACAATAATTTGCCTGATACAGTATAATGCTGAAGAATTGTGAGGTGAAATATAGCCACAATTGGTAGTGAAAATAGATGTGAAAAAAATGTGAATGACAGTTCAGCAAAGAATACCCGTCTACAGGATCTTGCTTAAAATGAATGAATAATTACAGCACAAGAGACCCAGGGCATAAGTCGAAGACCTGAGGCACATTTTCTTGGTTCCAGGGTCTAGCAATGTCTCTGACCTAAATCTGCTATTTTTGAGAGAAAGGGTCCACCCATATCCTTGACATTGTGGTTGTGTTTCTAATGCATTTGAAAATCAAATGTATATAAAAGGAGATATGATAAATATCAATAATTTGTTATTGGCTATGTGCAGGGCAAGTGCTTCAAACTGTCACTTTATCATAATGATTTTGCCAGGTAGCTTATTGATGAGGCATTTTAAAGGTACATGGGTGACAAATCAGAATGGTGCAGATGGATTTACTCTGCCTACTTTGCACTTAGTAAGTAGATCTCCTTAAGATATTTTTCAAAACATACATGCATGGGTGGTAATATATGTTCATACCGAGTTTTTAAAACGATGAAAAATAACCACAGCCTTATGATCGCACTTAATAAAGAGCCATTAGGGAAAACTTATTTCTGAAAGCTCTATGACTTAGATCATTTTTGTCTCTATACATCTTCATCACTGTGTAGGTGGTCCATTAGTTGTATACCTCTAGTGCTTAAGCTTTATAGCACATTTACAGTATCTTTGGGGAATGTACTAATGATCACAATGCAAAGAGATCAGGCACAACATCTCTGTTTTTTCCATTGCTTTTGCCGGTGTTAGAATGAGGCTATAAAAACCTCATATCCATTGACACTTTCTGGAATAACTTTATCCTTGCACAGTGCAAATCTCTTCCCTAAAGCTCAGAAAAGTAAGTTATAAATCTGTAAAATCGTGGACTATTAAATAAATAAACAGGATCTGTCATTAGGAGATTATATAATCCCATAACACTGAAAGCATTCGTGTTAGAACCTGCAGTAGAGGCCTGTTTTTATGATGACATACATATTGAGCTTTTGACATGTTTTTATTATTGCAGATTTCAGAGGTTGACGTCTATTACCTTCTATTGATTGGTGATTTCAGAGCTGCCCAGGACAAACAGAAGTTAGATGAAGAAGTCATTCAGCTATGATTAAGATTTATCTCATTGTCACAGAAATATGTACCGATTGTTGAACCTGTCATTTTGAAAGGCTACATAGTCTTCTAGGTAGACAAAGGTTATGTCTGTAGCACAAAATAACATGTCCGATAAGGCAAAGTTTATTGCATTTTTCAGTGGGGTGTGTTGGTCTTTTTGTCTCATTTTCAGTCTTTTCTTTTAGCGGATCAAGGTATAATGTCTCAAATATATGAAGGTGAGTACCATTCATTTTGCTTGAAAAAGTAGGCCTCCGTTATTTAGCTAGATTACCCTGTTGCGCTTAAATGTCTTTTTTCTTTATTTAAATATATTAATTATTAATATATATTAAATATATACAGTGTAAATTTCTTATTTAACACTCTGATCTAGCAGTTTATCTAGCAGTTGCCTAGCAGTTTATCTTGCTAACTAACTGTATCAGTATATAGCTGCAGGGTTACATAATACAAATACATTACATCACTTCAGAATTTTTATTCTGTCGTACAAGAATTTTCGTAACTTTAGTAACCTCTTCACTTTCGATATGAAACTAGCATGCAAAAAACAGACTATCATTTGTCCAATATTCCCATCATGTGTATGGGGCTTTAGAGCTTGCTCAGTGAGAGACTCTATCCTCACCCCCATGTACCATACTAGGTCTGTAGTTTTCAAACAGAGCAAGTATATATATATATCTGTGTGGCTCAGCGTTAGCGTAAACCTGTTGCTTTGCCCTACACAGAACATTATAAGTTATCTCTGCATTCAAAATACATAATAATTTGGATTAAGCAAACAAATAAAACAATTCTGAACAATTCACATATTTGGCTATTGTGTATTTCCTAAAATCTTTTTCAACGTTGGATTGAGGCTGAATTCATGCCATTCTGCATTTCATCTGCTGCCCATGTGATCTATAGTCCTTATATTGCACATACACCGTGTTCCAAATTATTATGCAAATGATATTTTTCTCATTTACCTAAATAATTGATGTAAATAACAGTCAGCATAATTCTCATGTTATCAACTATTAAGAGTACAGTTCAAATTTTATTGAACAAACCTCCTAATGATAACAGAATTTTTGTTAAACATAAAAAACTTACAATGCACTGTTCCAAATTATTACGCACAGTAAGTTTCAAAACACTTTATAGGTTGTAAAGAACTGAAAATTGTCATTTGTTGTGTTTGCAGCATATTTACTGAAATCAAAAGCTATTTCAATCAAACTTTTAACAACATTTTAACTTTTTAAACATTTTAACAGGTCACGTTACATTTTAACATAGGACCCCTTATTTGATAGCAGCTTCACAAGTCTTGCATCCATTGAACTTGTGAGTTTTTGAACAGTTTCTGCTTGAATTTGTTTGCAAGATGTCAGAATAGCCTCCCAGAGCTGCTGTTTGGATGTAAACTTCCTCCCACCCTCATAGATCTTTTGCTTGAGGATGCTCCAAAGGTTCTCAATAGGATTGAGGTCAGGGGAAGATGGAGGCCACACCCATGACTTTCTCTTCTTTTATCCCCATAACAGCCATTGATGCAGAGGTATTATTTGCAGCATGAGATGGTGCATTGTCATGCATGAAGATGATTTTATTACGGAAAGCATAGTTCTTCATTCTGTACCAGGGAAGAAAGTGGTCAGTCATAAAACTCCACATACTTTACAGAGGTCATCTTTACACCTTCGGGGCCCTAAAGGGGCCGAGCAGCTCTGTTCCCATGATTCCGGCCCAAAAACATGACTCCACCACCGCCTTGCTGACGTCGCCCTTGTTGGAACAGGGTGGCCGTCCACCAACCATCCACTACTCTATCCATCTAGATCATCCAGGGTTTGCACGGCACTCATCAGTGAACAGGACTGTTTGAAAATTAGTCTACATGTATTTTTCTGCCCAATGCAGCCGTTTCTGCTTGTGAGCATTGGTTATTGGTGGCCGAATAGAAGGTTTATGCACAGTTGCAAGACTCTGGAGGACTCTACACCTTGATGTCCGTGGGACTCCAGAGGCACCAGCAGCTTCAAATATCTGTTTGTTGCTATGTAATGGTATTTTAGCAGCTGCTCTCTTGATCAGATGCATGGATCTGGCAGAAATCTTCCTCAATGTGCCTTTATCTGCACAAACCCGTCTGTGCTCTGAATCAGCCACAAATCTCTTAATAGTGCGATGATCACGCTTACGTTTTCGTGAAATATCGAATGTTTTCATACCTCATCCAAGGCATTGAACTATTTTACTCTTTTCGGCAGCAGAGAGATTTTTTCTTCCCCATATTTCTTGAAAATGGTGCTCTGCTTAATAATGTGGAACACCCTCCTTTAGTAGTTTTTCCTTAAATTGGGCTCACCGGCCAATCTAATATTCACAGGTGTCCGAGATTGTTTTCAGTGATCAAAAGAGCCCTGAGACACAATGCCATCCATGAGTTAAACTGAAAAACAAAATATTTAATCTTTGTGACACTTAAATAGAATTTGCATAATAATTTGGAACACAGTGTAGATGCATCAAAAACACACATGAGCCAACGCTGTTTTATTATGATCACACCCCAGAGCTCATTTAAACCTCTGCAGTATAGTTCTGCTTGTTCCATGTTTGGTGCAGTTTCCAACAAGCATATGTTTCCTAGTGATGCTTGGTAACTCATGTAAAATACATCAAAGCACACCACGATGCACAAAGAGAGCAGAGGACTCTGAAAGTGAAGCAGCTGTACAACATGATGAACCTTGATGGACTGAAAGGTTGTGTGTTCAAATAAAGAAAATATTTTGCAACTAGACAGTGATCGTCTTAACAGATTAAATATTGATTGTGTGGAGTTCCTCTTTTGTATTGATTCCAATAATGTATTATGACCTTTAACTGCATAAGGACTGCCCACAGTACATTTGATGCTGCAGGACGGCCCCTGTGCGCAAAATCACGTATATATATATTTTGCAGTATCTATACCAGGCCTTGAAATCTCCACTCGCCTGCTCGCCAATGGTGAGTGGAAATTATGGTGGGGGCGAGTGTGTCCCCCAGGGCCGTCTTGCTCAGCAGGCTCAGAGCTTAGGCCGGATCTGTCATTGGCACTGGGAGCCGTCAGACTGCTCAATAGCTGAGCGCAGTGAAAGCAAAGGAAGGCGTGTGTGCTGTGCTCTCTGCCTCCCCCTAAAGTGCAGTACCCGGCTCTGTGAGTGAACAACGAAGTGCTGCAACTTTTTATAGGGGTGTGTGTGTACATGTGTGTGTGTTTGTGTGTCTGTGTTTATGTACATGTGTGTATCTGTACATGTGTCTGCGTGTATGTACATGTATGTGTGTGTGTACATGTGTCTGTGTAGGTACGTGTGTGTGTACGTACATGTGTCTGTGTGTACATGTGTCTGTGTATGTATGTACATGTGTGTGTGTGTGTACATGTGTCTGTGCGTGTGTATTTCTGTGTATGTACATGTATCTGTGTGTATGCGTGTCTGTACATGCCTGTGTGTGTATACATGTTTGTATGTGTGTGTGTGTACGTGTCTCTGTGCGTCTGTGTACATGTTTCTGTGTCTGTATGTGTGTGTATGTACATGTCTGTGTGTACAGGTGTCTCTGTGTGTGTTTGTTTTGGCGAGTAACACTTACGGCCTGGCTGGTAGCTCAGGACTTGAAATTTTAAGCCCTGATCTATACCATAGTTTGTAGACACCTTTCACACAAAGCAATCAATATGCACTTATTGGAATTTTTTTACCAAAAACATGTAGCAGAATACATTTTGGCCTAAATTTATGACTAACTTTGAGTTTACTATATATTTTTTATAGCCAAAAGTAAAAAATATTGGGGGTTTTTTTTTCAAAATTTTCGGTCTTTTTCTGTTTATAGTGCAAAAAATTAAATGCGCACAGATGATCAAATACCACCGAAAGAAAGCTCTATTTGTGTGAAAAAAAGGACAAATTTGTTTGGGTACAGCATTGCATGACCCCGCAATTACCTGTTGAAATAGTGCAGAGCTGAATAGCAAAAAAAAAGGCCTGGTCATTACGGGGGTAAAACCTCAAGATGGCAAGTGGTTAAGTCAAAGAACTTCTTACTTGAGTGCATGATGCCCATTAGTGTTTACAAGCCCAAACACAGAATTCACAGATAAGCCACTCAGATTTATTCATTAGATTCTATTCTTAATATGTAATGAATTTTACTTGCAGAAACTCATAACAGACACTCTGCATCTGTCTTGTGCTTGGCTGTCTTTAGAAAAGTGCATTAATAGTTACTATCAGTTTGTAAGCGCCCCCTAGCAACTAGAGGTAAGCGTGATATCACTTCAGGCTAGGGGTTTACACATTTTTGCCAAAGGTATGGGCTGAAGCCTTTGAATACACATCTACTGGAGTAAGGCCTTGCTGCTAATGTGTTCCCAGGTCTAGTTTCTGGGTGTGGTCCTGTGTCATGGCTGAGGATGGTTTTAAAGACAAAAGTCCTGTGTCGCACAAGGCATATCACCAAGTATCTCCCATTTCAATCACGAGGGTGCTCACACAGCTCGTCTGTGGATCAGCATATAAAGAAGTCCAGAATTCGCTGCCCTCCTCGATCACTTTATTAAGAAGCCATCAATAAAAATATCACATACACTGCAAGGACAGCCACAATTTACAGTAGAACTATACTATTCATTCTGGCTAGTGCAAGGGAAGGCTATGTTACTCCCGTAGGAGCTCCTGGAAATTTGCCCAGGTTCTTGCCTAGTGAATTGCCCATGAATACAGCTGCTCTTTTCCGCAATAATCAGTCTAGGGGTGTTCTTTTTGTTGTTTTTATTTTTGGAGAACTTGAATGGGGTTGAGGTAACTGAGTGGGATACTCCAAAAACAGAGACTGTACAAATTGAGGACACAGTGATCTCCTTTCTGTAGAGCTGAACCAGAAGTCCTTGCATATAGCAAACTGTGGACTTTTCTTGAAATAGAAACAGTTGAATGCAAAGCTAAAGCAAAAGCAAAAGTCCTTGCATATAGCATATAGCAAACTGTGGACTTGGCTTTGTAATAGAAGCAGTTAACAGCACACAAGCTTCTTCCTTTAGAACAAGAACAGTGTTCTTCAAAGAGGAGATAGACTACACTCTTCAGAACACCAGCTGATGTTCTTTTAGAAAACACAACCCAGACTCCCTAGCACAAGATAGGTGGTAGCAGCCAAAAAATTCTCCAAGATCTTTCATAGCAGTCTGTATTTACAGAATGTCCTGGGACAGTTGGTTGCCTCCTTTCAACTTCCAAGCGACACCTTTCTCCATTGATACCAGACTAGATCTTCAGCAGAAAGAGTCTCAGTCAGCTCTCTGTAGCTTCAGCATCCAGGCCCTCAGGTGAGGCCTCACAAATAGCAAACATATGGCTGTGTTGTCTAGGCTGGACTGATCCTCTGCAGGAAAAGACCCAGAAGCGCAGTCTCTCTCTCAATGTATTTATGCAGTTACCCAGAAGTCTCCAGGCCCCTTTTCCCTGGTATTGGCCAGGGCAGCATAAATATTCATACTGCCATCTGCATAGCTCCACACCTATGTTCCAGAGAATTATACTGCTCTCTGGAAGCATAGAGAGCTATCAGACTAGCAGCAGCTGAGAACACTGGATACAGTGAGCATAGCTAGATTTGTCTAACACACTAAATATAGCCACACTTGTAAAGTTATAACCTCTGACAGATTTTTTTCAACTTCCCACCGTCCCATTACGGAGATTTCACTTCCTGTCCCATAGCCAAACAGGAAGTGAGCGGAAATCTCTGCAAATTAAGGGAATTCCCTGGGGACCAGAACTAGTGTCCCCATTGGAAGATTTTCTTTTACAGAACTTTCACTTTCAATGACAATGGTAAACAGGACAAATAGAGAGGGCGAATCTTCTTAATGGGAGCACAGACAACAATAAAAAAGGATAGGTGTTTTAATCCCTCACACACTGTCCAAATCTAAAAAAAAAGTTTTGCCTTTAGTTATACTTTAACTTTTGGCTGTACCCGCAGGGTAGATGATGTTTTTCTTGAGGAGTGCAGCAAATTCAGGGCTTCATCTTTATCAGGACTGCTTTAGAGTAACCCAATTTATTAAATTAATTAGCATTTATTCATATTGGCTGACAGAAACACTTTGGCTAAATCCTTTTAAAACCCATGAAAAGTATTTTTAAATAATGCTAGCATAAGTACCTAGATTTGCTATATATTGACCTCCTATAATCCCATGGCAGATGGAAAAAGTATAACTCTGAGACAATCAGGGCTCTACTATCTTACAGTCAGAAAAGGAATTTAATTATTTCTATTGATGAGGTCTAGGTTCATCACTGCCATGGGTTTGAGGTGATTCCTGCGGGTATGAGATTTGCGGCAAGGTCAAATTTTTGTTCAGATTTCCCTTTTTTTACCAATATGGTCAAAAAGAAAGTGAAAGTGAGTGCTGTAAGTCAGAAAAGCAGCCAACACACCAAAGGATACCAAACAACCTTTCAAAACACAAACATATATAAGGTACGGAGCTTAAACAATAATCAATACATCTATGTGCCAAAAATGTAAAATCATGAATCATATAAAATGCATAAAGTGACTCGTGACAAGGTGCCAACATATAAAGTTACTTCAGAGGTATCATGTATTCCATCACTGTAGAGTGACTCGTGGTGAACAATGATGATAGAATAAATTGTCCAAATGTGAGTACAGGAGATCAAAATGTCTCCAACAATAGGTGCTTCATCCAAAACAAATGGTGAGGTGACCGGTGTGTATGATAAGGCTGTGCACTCACCAGATGCACAGTCAATCTGTGCATTTAGAGACAATACTCTTATAGGGCACACTCCAGGCTCCTGTATAGATCTGGTCTGGTCAGGTGTTCCTCTTACTGTTCCCCTCTGCTGGCAGTATGGCCTCGCTTCCTCATACATACAGCTCTGTGGGTTTTTGATGACTCGAGCCCTCTCAAAACAGCAGCTATTAGAACACAGCAGCCATAAAAGACTCAAGCATTTCGTCATAATCACATGATCCAAGGGGTAGGGTGTAATTGGTGATTAATGTAAATGTAAAAAAGTGCTGCGCTACATAATCTAAAAATGCACAAGCCCTATAGAATATAACCAAACCAAAAACACAGGACAGTGAACTAAAAAAAAAAACAGATATAGGGACTCAAAAAAAATTATTATTATATAAACCAAAGTCCAATCAATTGGTGTTCTGCTGTGGACCCTCTTAGAGATAACGAGCACCGTGTGCAGCTATCACGGGATTCAAGTGCAAACTCTCTTCCACCATAAATCTGCTCACCTCCAGCAGTGTGACCTCACATTATACAATGTTTTGGTCTAACTGCACTTTTGATCACAAACATACTGGACTCTGAAGTTCAACTTACTTAAGATTAACTCCAAGGATACCCCCTCCAGATAACCGCCTAAGGGTCAGACATATTCCTTATAAACAAAAGCTTAACATAGTGCTTTATCCTTTAAAACTTTTATTGTACAATGAGCCATAAGAAATGCACTCACATTCAGTAGGTGCACAACCGCACCAGGTATGATGAGCGTCCAGTAATGTACTTCCTAAGGCACACGATGGCAGTATCGTCCCCAGCAGCATAGACCAGTCAACCCAATACAGGCTCCAAGTAGTCATCACACTGTGTAATGCAAGGCAAAGCATGGGCCCTGTATGTGTAATGCAAATGCCTTACTATAATGATGATCCTGGAGTGGTGTGTGGATCAGTATACCGCTGTTTCGATCAATGGAAACATCGTGACATCATCCACACGCTCCTCCCTGATGCGTTTCGTCGTGATCATGTGACTTTATCACGTGTCATTTTGTTTTGGACCAAACGGACATGTGACAATACAAGTCGATCAGCGCCATCTTTATGAAGATCAGCAGACACTACCAGAGCAAACATCGTTCTTGTGCTAAAACAAAAACAGAACCTAATAGACTACAAAAGACCTAATTTTGTGAGCGGAGAGGACGTCACCAGTCTACCACCTCCTAGATCCCTCAGAAGCCATAACAAACTTGGATGCTCATCACACTTACAACCGGAACATATGACAAGTATACGTTTATAAAAAATATAGAAAAATATATAAATATAAAATGCTAAAAAATGAATTAATCTGATACTAATGAAATATTAAATTAAAATACAAAAAAATATTAAAAATCGCTAATAAAGCAGTTTAGATCAAATTCCTTATTCATCCCCTTAGGGGCTGGAGTTTGAAGTTCATGAATCCAAAAGGACTCTTTTTTTACTCAGCTCTTATTTTATTATCACCCCTCCAATTCTTTTTATACACTTCAATACCCAAAAAGTCAACCCTGAGCAACCCTTATGCTCATCCAAAAAAAATGCCTGGAAACATAATGTTTAGGAAATCCCTTAGTAATATTGCGGACGTGTTCTTGGATCCTATCCTTTTTCAAAAGCACCAACAGAAATGCATATATACCTAGTCACAGCTGTCATCACAGACCGTGGCTTCTAAATGTCCCGAGGGGCCAGTTCATGAGACTGAAGAGGAATTGGAGCAAGGAGTCAGATTATATTGTTCAGTCATAT